GTCTAAAAAAGAACATTGAACAAAAGAACAGTGTCATTCTTCAATATGTGAATGTAAAGTAAACAAAGGTTGACAACGCGTTTCATAATGAATAGCTTCTTTAGGAGATCTCAGGGTGAAATAATAAAACAGAGTATATTCAGAGTGATGCTGTATGTTATCCAGGAATGGAAGAGAAATGCTTCAGAGAATATGGCCCAAAATAAAAAAAAGGATGGAGTAGGCAACAAAGGACTCATACATATGATGGAAGGAAATACATATAGGCAGTGGATTGCATATTTGTTAATTCTACAAAATGAATGATGATAACAAGACCATACTTACTCACAGAGGTAGACAGCATAGACTTCCAAATTCAAAAAAACACTTGTTTGTGAATAAATACAAAACTGCATTATTTGTGTATTTTATAGTTGCCTGGAATTCAGCTTTAATTTGCATTTCTTCTATTTCAAAGAAACACATTTACATTTGACAAAGAAGAGAGCCAGATGATTTCAAGGACTTCAGTCTTCTTCTAATCCTAGAGTAGGATCAGTTTTATGTATACCTTATGTTTTGTGACATTGTTTAGAGGCTAAAAAATGAAACTGTCAAGTGGAAATTTGTTTCATCATTTCACTCAGCTCCCAATTTAAAGGGTAAAGCTACTGCTCTGTGGGGAATAAGAGATAATAAAGTCAAGCTGGAAAAATATCTTTCCAAGATGCAGTGAGAATCTTTCAGAGACAGGTACATGTTCTAAAAGGAGGAAGTTCTGTCAGCGGGAGCCTCTTTGTAGTCTCGTTGCAGGTGCTGTGCCAGTCACAGTAAAATTTATAAGGTGATCTTCTGAACCTGTTACACATCTGTTGTTTTATGGTTGTATTATCTGGTCATGGTGTGCTGTCTTTAAAATACCATTGTAGATGTGGATACCTGTTGAGTGAGTTATTCCCTATTCTTTTTAATGAATGCAACCTACTCACGGAGATTGGTTTTAATATAACCATAGCCACTTCAGTAGTGGATGGCATATTAACCCTGTCTACCTAGTACATATCCTGTCAGCAAAGAAGAGGTTAATGGCAGACTGGAATCACATTGGATTAAAATTCCATGCAAGGGCTTTTATTGGGCTTAGGGGATGCAATGATGAGGTATAACTGAAGAAAAGTCTTTACTTTAAAGGAAGAGTCATTTGTTACTTGAAAGGCTGATGAAGAAAATTTGTCCCTTGGGATGGAGCCTGAAATCCATTATATAGATTTGGGGATTTCACGCTGCTATGCACCTTTTACTGTAAGTATTTGAAATGTATTCTGTAAGAGGTGCTTAATGCAGATTGTATATGGGTCGCCAGCTATGGATTGATTATGGACTAACACAACTATTTGTTCACTAATCCTTCACTGTAAGTAGTGGAAATTCTTAGTAAAAATCATATGTGGGATCACCAACTTCACAACACACAAATGCATTAATAATAAACTAACACAATTATGTGTTTACAAATATAAGTATAGGTTGACACAATACACATTCCCACATCCGCATCAAACATGCTTTGCTGTCAGCAAACACGCGGGTGTGACATTAATTCCTAATGACACCCCCACGCACTGGAAACCGCTGTGTGTTTTTTCTATGCTGGGAACTGCACTTCAATATGTGGTTTCCCTGCTGCTGTGATTTTGGAAAAAGTTCAGGGACCTTTTCCTAGCATTTACTGTAGATACAGGAGCCCATTCAAATAGGCAGTTGCCTAAGGCCTCGTGCTCACAGGGACCTCGTGGCTGCCTAATTTGCCTAATGCCAGGGTTTTTGTTTCTGGGCTGGCCTGGAGGCTGGAGAGTGAAGGAGGGGTCAATGATTGGCGATAGGGCTCAGGTGAGCTCAATAGTTCCAGTGGCTGCACTGCACTGGAAGGAAAGGCGGAGTGATAATAACTCCCTGCAGACCGGATGCGCCCATGGCGGCAGTTGCACTCGGGAGCTCAGGGCTGTGTGGAAGTCTGGAAGAAGAGTGATGCTGTAGCCTGACTGACTGGTCACTGTGATCATCACTGTGCTGCATTGCTGTGGTCTGTGGAAAAAGAAGCGAGTGGAAAGAAGTTGTTCAGCGTCAGCCGCCTTCAGAAAGATAATTATTGATGAATGGCATTTGGATTGGCAGTGTTACAGGACAGAAGGCTTGTCTATTAATACTGCTTGGATGTGGTTCTATCTGTGACTGTCTCTTAGCTGGATTGGATTGTCTTTTAGCTGGATTGGGCTATCTCATAGCTGGATTGAGCTATCTCTTAGCTAGATTGGACTGTCTCTTAGCTGGATTTGGCTGTCTCTTGGCTAGATTGGGCTGTCTCTTAGCTGGATTGGACTGTCTCTTAGCTGGATTGGACTGCAGATTGTATTGTCTCTTAGCTGGATTGGGCTTTCTTTTAGCTGGGAATGTCTCTTAGCTGGATTGGGCTGTCTTTTAGCTGGTACTTTCTCTTAGCTGGATTGGGCTGTTTCTTAGCCGGATTGGGCTGTATGTTAGCTGGATTGGGCTGTCTCTTAATTGGATTGGGCTAAATGTTAGCTGGATGGGGCTGTCTGTTAGCTGCATATATGGGGATGTCTCTTTGCTGGATATATGGGGGATGTATCTTCGCAAAATATATGGGGCATGTCTCTTTACTGGATATATGGGGGATGTCTCTCTGCTGTAAATATGGGGGATGTCTCCTTGCTGGATATATGGGGCATGTCTCTTTGCTGGATATATGGGGCATGTCTCTGCGGAAAACTGAATTCATACTGTAGTTCATAGGATTTAAGGTTTCTAATATATGCAAATTCTACAGCTAGTTTTTATATCTTGAAATATTCTTCCCATTATGGGCATGAGTGGGGCCTCATGTCTAAGTATTGCCTACAGCCTGACAAAGCCTAGAGCCACCTCTGCATACACCATGTACTAAATTTACTGTAGCGTGTGCCTGAAAGAATATTTTCAGTTTATTATTCATATTAACATGAATACAGTTACATAATGTTCTATTTTTTAGATCAGGATAATAATGGGATGTGGGTTAACGTTTTTTGGCTGTTTACCTGTCTACATTACATTGAAAACATATTAAAACTGAGGAAAGGCACATGTGTTGCCAGAAGCAAACATGTCTCCTTTCATTCATTAACTTGACTTTGAAAAATTACACTTAGTACCTGAATAAGTACTAAGGACAGATATGGCCTCCCATGTGTATCATGAACTGAAAATAACCAAATGATTTTATAGCTATGTTCAATCAACATCATGGCATATGTATTAGTCACATTATACATGTCGAGATTGTATAGAATGATATCTGGTATAAGACTTTGTTGTTTGTCTCCTTTCTACCTACACCAGCAGACTTATATTGGAAATTCTGTTATTCGGAGACAAAAATATGTGTCTTTATTTAGTGAGGCAGTGCTAAAAGTATTAACAAAACACTGTTCTGTTTCTCCAATCTAAGCATTGAAAGTGTGATCTCTGTAATTTACAGTTGTGATGAGATAGCGATAACTCCAATCTTAGTTGAATACCACAGGCAGTGACTCAATCCGATGACACCTTGTAGATCTTGTGAAGTGTATTCCATAAACTGAGAGAATCTTACAACAAGGAACATCTGATAGGTCAAAAGATCATAATGTGATCTGCTTCATGACATAAGGATAGAAGCTGCAATGCATTTCTAAGAAAAGGGGTGGGCAATCTATACAGCATTAACTAAACCAGAAGAAAGGGAGAGCAGAGACAAAATACAGAGAAAGGCATATGAAAGTCATGTGAAACATGACAAACACCAACAAATGCGTTTTCCATTCACTGAAGTTAGATGAAAGATTAACTAATATTAAGCTGGGTACACACTGTGCATTTTTTTTTTCAGATTAGCGAAAATAAAAAAAATCTGACAGGTTCCTGCATCTACACAAGCAATGTGGATCCAGGAATGCAGGAATCCCACCTGCTGGGACATTGTATTTTGACAGCGGGGACTCCCAGCTGTCAAAATATAATGATCTGCGTGCCGCTGCAGCCTATTGGCTGATCAAACAAGGTTTTCCAGCAATCCCGTTCTACATCGTTAGATTGGCTTCTGTCGAACTAGGAGAGCTACACGCGGATCTAAATTCTTCTTCCGGTCTCTGCTGAACTGGCCACATTTTGTTTCTTGTGTAGCCAGCTTTAGGCTGTATAGATACTGCCCTTTCCTATTTGCTTTAAAGGATAAGTTCACCTTTGGGAACATGTTACATGTGCCACCTGTTTTAAGGGTGGAACATGTAACATGCTCCCATAGCTGCAGCTACCGCACGCCGCCCCCCTTCCTCTGACAGATAGTATGGGCAGAAGTCAAATTTGATAAACAGTGCGGCTGTGTGGGGCTCCGCCCACACGGCTGCATCATTCATTCACGGACTTCCATGAATGAATGAACTTCAAGTCCCAACAGCCTTAGCGGCTGTAGGCTTGTAGTTTTCAATGAACTGCCATGGAGCTGTGGAGTGCCGTGGTAGTTCATTGAAGCTTCCTGTCGGAATATCTGCTTGCCTGTACATCCCTGTACATCCCGTACAGCAAGCAGATATTCTGACAGGTCTGCAGGAGACCTGCATGACATCAGCAATCTACTGATCACTGGTGCAATGCTTTCCAGGCTCCTGTAGACAAAAATAATAAATGCACATTTTTTTTACCTGCAAAAAAATGTGCATTATGACTTTTGTCTAAAAGTTGAACTTATCATTTAAGGGGGAAAACAACTTAATTTTTTTTATCTCACAATATAATATTCCTTATTTTTTACAATGAGATATTTTAATATTGTGTTAGTTTATACAGCATTCAATGAAATGGACAGTCACTCAAATATTTCAACCTATCCAAATGCTTTTGGTACATCTGAATCCAGGTATATGATTAGATCTGATCTTATGGGACACTCTTCACTCACATCTGTACACGTAAACCAAAGCTTAGTACAGGGCTTGAAATTTCCACTCGCCTGCTCGCCAATTGTGAGTGGAAATTATGGTGGGGGCGAGTGTGTCCTCCAGGGCTGTCTTGCTGAGCAGGCTCAGGGCTCAGGCCGGATCTGTCATTGGCACTGGGAGCCTTTAGTCTGCTCAATAGCTGAGCGCAGTGAAAAGCAAAGGAAGGAGTGTGTGCTGTGCTCTCTGCCTCCCCCCAGAGTGCAGTACCCGGCTCTGTGAGTGAACAACGAAGTAGTGCAACTTTTTATGGGGGGGGTGTGTACGTGTACATGTGTGTGTGTTTGTGTGTGCATGTACATGTGCCTGTGTGTATATACATGTGTGTATGTACATGTATGTGTGTGTGTACATGTGTCTGTCTGTGTGTGTGCATGTACATGTGTGTGTGTGTTTGTGTGTATGTGCGTATATGTGTCAGTGTGTACATGTGTCTGTGTATGTATGTAGTACATGTGTCTGTGTGTATGTACATGTGTCTGTGCGTGTGTATTTCTGTGTATGTACATGTATCTGTGTGTATGCGTGTCTGTACGTGCCTGTGTGTGTACATGTCTTTGTGAGTGTGTGTACATGTTTCTGTGTGTGTATCTGTGTGTGTGTATGTACATGTCTGTGTGTGTGTACAGGTGTCTCTGTTTGTGTGTGTTTGTTGGTGGCGAGTAAGGCCTGGCTAGGACTTGACATTTTAAGCCCTAGCTTAGTACATTGTAAAATACAATGCTTACACATGTGACAACCTTTATTAAAAATCAAATTATTATAGATCTCTATACACATTTAAATATTATAACTACATTTTTACTTGTTGCCTTCAGTACTTTTTAGCCATATTTTATTATAGTGTCACAGCTATAAAACATAATTTTTTTAGTCAGGTAGATCTGAAATATTGTATATTATTTTATACATTTTTATGCAGCCAGTAGGGAGAGCTCTAGTCTTCCATTCACGTGTTTATATGTTCATATGTGAATGATTTGATGACAGCTTAAAGAAGCTTGGTATATAGATCTCAGTAGCTCAAGCTGAAATGTACACATGAAAGTGTCAGAGCAGTGACTTTCACTAACCTCCTTCCTTGCTGTCTTCATCTCTGTTTGAAGTTTCAGTTAGAGGCAGAGTGGAAAATGGGCTAGTGTACAAAAGCCAGAAGACTCATAGGGGGTGATTTATTAAAACTGGAGCTTGCAAATCTGGTGCAATTCTGCATAGAAATCAATCAGATTCCAGATTTTATTACCAAAGCTTAATTGAACAAGCTGATCTATATACACTACAAATCCCATAGTCAATAATCCATACAGCAGCAAAAGAAAAATTAGGCTGAGAGCAGGGGCGGATTGACCATTTAGGAACTCGGGCACTGCCCGAGGGCCCGGGGTCAGTAGGTGGCCCCATGAGATGCCCCTGGTACCTTTCATAGGCTTTTTTGGGTGTGGTTTGAGTGTAAGCGAGGACACAGGGGCCCCATGATCCCCTATTGCCCGGGGGCTTCATGAGTTGTCAGTCTGCCCCTGGCTGAGAGCAATAGAAGGCACTTTTTGAGTAAAGAATACATACTAGAATGGAATTTTTTTTTTTAACCACATCCCCACTACCCTATAGCAGAAATACTGCTACAGGGCGGCACAGGTGCGCACAATCACACACACGTATATATATATATATATATATATATATATATATATATGTGTTTGATTTTGCATGTGCATGTAGGGGATGCGCTTGGGCCATACGCACGCCCTAGCCGCGCCGCCATTCCCGGCCGTGGCTGTCTATCACCGGGTCCCATCCGGTAATTACTTGCGGGTGCCCAGTGATTTCTGACGATCACTGACGGGGAGGAGGACTGTTTTGTTTACTAACAGTCCTCCTCCCTGTTAGCTTGGGCACACTGCTTTGGATGGCTTTGCACAGCACAGCCATCCAAAGCAGTATGATTAGTGAAACACACACACCGGCCCCTAGTAAAACACTCCCAGCACACAGTAAACCCTTTGATCACCCTCATGTTAACCCCTTCCTGCCCAGTGCCATTAATACAGTGTCAGTGCTTTTTTAGCACTGATCACTGTATTGGTGTCACTGAGGATGTCAGTGACATCAAGTCAGTCCCCCCCCCCCCATTGTCAGAATTTCCGCTGCAGTCCTGCAGTCGCGCTATAAGTCGCTGACCGCCGCCATTACTAGTAAAAATAACTTTAAAAAAAAAAACACTATATATATCGCCATTTGTAAATGCTATAACTTTCACGTAAACCAATTAATTTACACGTATTGGGATTTTTTTTTTTAGCAAAGATGTCACAAAATACATTTTGGCCTAAATTTATGATGAAATTTGATTTTTTTTATTTTTGGACATGTTTAATAGCAAAAAGTCAAAAATATTGTTTTTTTTTCTCAAAATTGGCACTTTTTTTTTCATAGTGCAAAAAATAATAAATGCACAGGCGATCAAATACCACCGAAAGAAAGCTCAATTCCTGGGAAAAAATTCATTCATTTGGGCGCAGTGTAGCATGACTGCGCAATTGTCAGCTAAAGTAACGCAGTGCTGTAACGCAAAAAATGGCCTGGTCAGGAAGGGGGGTAAATCCTCTGGAGGGCAAGTGGTTAAACCAGTCAGTGTAGTGGCACTTTAAGTATTTGTAATGATATAAATGGTATAAATTATATATAAAAAACCTAAATAAACCAAATGGACTCAAAACCATGAAAAAGTAAGGCCTGGATGTATCAATACCTCAGTGCAAATCAGAACAAAGTGAAACTTTTTGAACTAGCAATTAGCAAATTTTGAAAACCATATTTAAAAGTTTGGTCTGCAATAGGGAAGCAATATTTGTATTAACTGTAAAATGACAGTCGCACTGGAAATCATGCAACTTTGTGTGTGAATGGAGTCTTATGTTTCTTGTACTTGTGCACTGACCATTAACTGCAATATTGTTACTTCAAAAAAACAAAGTATATCCTCTGATTATAAGGTTTAGCTTAATTTCATACATGTTAAAATGTAATTGTGCAATGTTTCCTAGAATTACTACACGTTATATAGTATAATAAGAGTATGCTTAAAAATCCATTTAATCTACACTATATTGCCAAAGGTATTGCATGTACACACACATGAACTTTGATGGCATCCCAGTGTTAGTCTGTAGGGTTCAGTATTGATTTGGCCCATACTTTGCAGTTATAACAGCTTCAACTCTTCTGGGAAGGCTGTCCACAAGGTTTAGGAGTGTGTCTATGGGAATGTTTGACCATTCTTCTAGAAGCGCATCTGTGAGGTCAGGCACTGATGTTGGACAAGAAGGCCTGGCTTACACTTTCCTCTCTAATTCATCCAAGAGGTGTTCTATCGAGTTGAGGTCAGGACTCTGTGCAGGCCAGTCAAGTTCCTCCACACCAAACTCGTTCATCCATGTCTTTACGGACCTTGCTTTGTGCACTGGTGTGCAGTTATGAATGAACAGGAAGGGGCCATCCCCAAACTGTTCCCACAAAGTTGGGAGCATGAAATTGTCCAAAATGTCTTGGTATGCTGATGCCTTAAGAGTTCCTTTCATTGGAACTAAGGGGCCAAGCCCAACCCCTAAAAAACAACCCCACACCATAATCCCCTCTCCACCAAACTTTACACTTGGCACAATGCAGTAAGGCAAGTACCGTTCTCCTGGCAACCACCAAACCCAGACACGTGCATCGGATTGCGCCAAATAAAGAAGCGTGACTCATCACTTCAGAGAACACGTCTCCACTGCTTTAGAGTCCAGTGGCAGCATGCTTTACACCACTGTATCCAACACTTTCCATTGAACTTTGTGATGCAGCTGCTCAGCCATGGAAACCAATTCCATGAAGCTCTCTATGCACTATTGTTGTGCTAATCTGAAGGCCACGCAAAGTTTGGATGTCTTTAGCTATTGACTCTGCAGACAGTTGGTGATTTCTGTGCTTCGGCATGCACTGACCCCGCTCTGTCATTTTACGTGGCCTACCACTTCGTGGCTGAGTTGCTGTTGTTCCCAGTTGCTCCCACTTTGTTATAATACCACTAACAGCTGACTGTGGAATATTTAGTAGCAAGGAAATTTCACAGATGGACTTATTGCACAGCTGGCAAGCTATCACGGTACCACGCTTGAATTCACTGAGCTCATGAGAGCGACCCATTCTTTCACAAATGTTTGTAGAAGCAGTCTGCATGCCTAAGTGCTTGATTTTATACACCTGTGGCCATGGAGGTGATTGGAACACCTGAATCCAATGATTTAGAGCGGTGTCCCAATACTTTTGCCAATGTAGTGTATATCTTATCATGTAGATGTACAATCAGATTGTAACATATATAATAATTATAATCAGCCATCATTATTAGGGTCGGTTTGCTCCATGAAACAAATAGAAATGCACTGTGCATTCCTGTGCGATTTTCATGCGATCCGGGTGCAGTGTGATTTCAGCATGGGTTGAAATCACACTATAAAAATAAGAAAGCTCTGCAAAAAAGAGAAATAGTGCGCAAGCACCTTATTATAGCTTATTTATCTGTATGGTCAGGAGAACATACTCAAGGCAATTTTGCTGATGCAATTGTTTGTTGAGCAATTTAAAAGTTGTATCACCTTTTAATATATAATTCCATCAATCATATAAAACAATAAAATTAGAGATGCACTATAGTCATACAAGAAAAAACAGTTTCATGGGAATTTGTAAACACTGAAGACTTATTGTAACAATAGCGAGGTCTGATGAACTCCAAACTTTGTGGATAGAATAGGAGAATCGTGTTAAACCTAATTTATCCAAAATTTGCAAGTCAGTAACAAAAATGGCCAAATCTGAATCTCATTTCGGACTCAGTACTGTCTAGGTCTGAGCAGCATTTTGATGTACCCACGAGCACGGAGAATATCTTGTGTGTGGTGGGTACAAGGCTATCTCTTGCCCCCACTTGGGGTCATCAGATCATATAGCACATTTTATGGTACCAGCTTACTCACATGTTAACAAGCAAGAAAACTGTGTTAAGGACAATTAAAACATGGCCAAAAGAAGCAAATGACACCTTGCTTTAGCAGACTGAGTGACAGGTGTTTACTACTCAGTTACCACAACCACAAGCAATCAGCTCAATGTAGTGCACAGAAGACAAAGCAACTAATCAGAAACCCTGGGTGGATAGGGCAGTGAGGGCCTTGGTTAGGGATTGAAATACTGCCTGTATATCAGCTCATAGGGAGACATAGGGAAGGTTAAGAGTAGGGATTAGGGAGGTTTAGGAAAGTTATAAACTAAGATTAAAAATGAGCCTGGGATGTACTAGTGCTGGAATGATGTGAAAGACTATTCAGTCAGCTGCCACATGCGGCTCTTTACACACTAAAATGCGACTCTTCCGTGTGCCGGGCGCCCGCTCCCCTCCCTCCTCTCGGGCGGCCGCCCCAAAAGTCAGGACAATGCAGCTAGCCCAGCAATGGGCAAACTACGGCCCGCGGGCCGTATATACGGCCCGGCGGACCTTTTAATCCGACCCGCGGAGCGTGGCAAACATTGGCTGTCAGGATGTAGGCGGGGCAGCGTGACGAACTCCTCTCCTCTCACAGTCCGCCCTGAAGACCGGAACGGCGCGGGAACACGGCG